GCCGAGCGACGGAGATGTATCAGTTAATGCGATGCATTGCTTTATCCATGAGTGTGGTCTGCCTGCCTGCCTGCCTGCCTGTTTTTTACATGTCTGCTCTGCGCTTGGGTGCGCGTGACGTGACGTATCGCTCTACATCCACCCTGTCTACCTGTCTGCCTGCCCGTGTGCGTCCGTTTTTGTCCTAGCTATGGCATGCAAGAATGCATCGCATCGCATCGCATCTTATCGCACCATCGCTGCATGCCGACTCGTGTGTCAGTTTTGTCTACACGCCAGTCAGCCCACCCACCCGTCTCTTATTGATTGCTACCTGACTGCCTGCCTGCCTGCCTGCCTGCCAGACTGCTAGGCCTAACTAGGACGACGCTGGCTCTCCTATGTATGCCGTCCTTGCTGTTGCTGTGCTTGCATATTGCGCTACGCTATGCTACACTCACTGTGTTGGTACAGCCAGTTACAATCTGTGACACATAGGCGAGACGATTAGGAGGACATTAAGGCAATGACGACGATGGATGCTGTTGATCGGTTGGCTGGTTGGTTGACTGACTGACTGACTGAATGGCTGGCTGGCTTCCCTGACTGATAAATAAATGCGATTTTGGCGGGCGGGGGATGGGCGGACAGGCGAGGGGAATCCTTTTACACAGTACGACTGCATACAGGAGGGGCGCGGGTGAGAGAGAGTCTTTTCACTGACATCGTGCTACTTGGTGCATGCTCATGTCGTGTATCTATCTGTGTTGCTCTTCATGCATCTGTCTCGTGGCCACTCTCAGGCACCAAACCCATCTCATGTCATCGTTCGCTCTCTACCTCTGTCTTGTCGATGTATGCTGTCTGGCTGGCTGGCTGGCTGGTTGCCTTACTTACGGCGCGTCTTTCGTGTTTTTCCCTCTGCTGCCGTCCGAATGGACAGCTCATGGAAGGCGTGCCCCACGTACGTACGAACTCCGTTGTGGCTTACGGCTCTCTCGTCTCTCTCGCTCGCTCGCTCTCTCTCTCTCTCTCTTGCGTGGCAGCCAGTCAGTTCTTTTTATCCGTCGCGGTGTTTCGTTGCATCTCTCTGTGTCTGTGTGGTGCGGCGTGTGGGTGGGGGTGGGGAAAGCAGGGGAGTGAGTACGAGTCAGCAGTGAGCCCATTGATTGATTCACCCGATGGAGTTGGATCGCATCAATGACTTATCATTTACAGCATGTATGTACGTATGTATGTACGCGTGTAAGTGGTTGGTTGACCGGGAGGGACAGGGCTGTTGGCTCTCGTGTGCGTCCTGTATGTGAGACAAGAGTTGTACGCCCGTCACACGAGAGAAAGATTCATGGTGCACTCACTCATTCAGGGGGCGGGAGGGGGGGGGGGGGGGGGGGGGGGGGGGGGCGCAACGGACTGGTGCTCTATGTCAGTCCAGTCGGGCTGTCTGCCGCCTGATGCACACAGTTGGATACGTCGATTTTGGATCTCTCTTTCTTGTCTGCCGTCTGGCCGTCGTCATCTCCACGCTCAGCCTGCCCGCCATGCCGTATGCCTAACTGATGCACTCACACGCCGCGCCCGCCCTCATACATGTCATATTGCTCATGCTTCTTGCCTGGCCTGCCTGGTGACACACGCTTTACTTATGGTGGTTGGTGGCTCTGCTTTTGCGCTAACGGTCTCTCTTTTCGTTCTTTTTGCCCATGCATGGCCGATGGATGCACTCACTGGCCGAGGGGGGGTGGGAAGAGTCCATCCATCCATCCATCCGTACGTATCTATCGTATATCCTTTACGATTTTGTCTACGCTTGGCTGTTATCACTTTTTGGTCTGACTCGCCGGCTAGCACACACACGTGCCATCTATCTCTTCTTTGTCAAACTACCTACCTCTTTCTTGCCTCGTCTGTCTTGTCGTCTCTCTTTGGGTGGATGCGCTGCGTTGCGATGCAATGCGCACTCGAACACTCGCTCAGTTGCTCGGCATCAGAGCTGTTTTTGCCATGGACCCACCCACCGCCCTCCCACCCCACCCATTTACCGTTTTGCCACCGGGCCAGCCGATTCAATTCGTCAGAGAGAGACATGCCTCACTGGTCGATGCACACACACGTCCTGCCTTCCTGCCTGCCTGCCTGCCTGCCTGCCTGGACGCTGCCTGTGATGCATACATATCACTCCACCCACCCACCCACCCACCTACCCACCAACCTAAG